AAGACATGAATGCCAGACCTTCCAGTGCTGAGTTTCTCTCTCCAATACCAATCTCAGTGAACTCAGTTGACCTTGATGGTTGTTTTCAAATAATAACCTTAATTTATGTAGACTGCCCAAAATACAGCCAAAAGAAGGAAGAATAAAATGTTAGGGTGAAGAGAGAGGATCATCTGGTAGCATAGCTTCTCTTCTTGATTTTCTTTTAGAGATGATACTATTTCAAACACAAGAATTTATGGAGCAGTCACTCCATTACCAATCCAGTTAGGCAGTGCACAGGCCCTCAACTCTAAAGGAAGATAAAAGGAATATGATGGAAAAAAACACAAGCAAGTCTAACTCTATTAGACAGGAAGCACACCTGTCTAGCATATTATTACACTTCCAGTGCTTAGTGTACAGAGCCTAGTGCACAGCAGGTACTCAATAAATATGCTGAATAAATAAATGCACTCACCTGATTTCATACCAAATAGTCCTGTCTAGCAAATTAATCTCTGGCTCTTTAAATACCTGCTATGATCTAGGCCCTGGGAATATTACATAACCAATACTGGTATAAAAATCATGCCTATGGAGGGTTCTTTTGGAGCCTAGCAAAAACAAATAAAGGAGGTGTTTATTCATGAAACCAGCACTTAGAGACTACATCAGCAGTTCCAGCTCCATAATTACAAGCTCCGTGAAGACATGAACCAGATCACATCTCTCTCCTGTGTGGCTAGGGCCCACTGCACATGTAGGATGGTGTTTCTCCTATCCTTGGGAGAAATAAATCTCGCAAAATCAAAACTGTGTTAATATTCATGCTTCCTACTTGCTTTAGAACAGGGGGTGTCAAACTTGGTCTTAGTCCCCCTTTGCACGCAAATAATTATTGATGACTCCAAAGAGCTTTGGTTTATATGGGTCATAGCTATCGACGTTTACTGCATTAAAAATGAAAACTGGGAGCTAGGCACGGTGGCTCAGGCCTGTAATTCCAGCACTTTGGGAGGCTGAGGTGGGCAGAGCATGAGGTCAGAGGTTTGAGACCAGCCTGACCAACATGGTGAAACCCAGTATTTACTTAAAAATACAAAAATTAGGGGGAGGGAGCGAGCTGAGGCCGGCCTCACCACTTCCCCCATAAAAAAAAAAAATTGAAAAAAAATACAAAAATTAGCCAGGCATGGTGGTGCACATTTGTAATCCCAGCTACTTGGGAGGCTGAGGCAGACGAATTGCTTGAACCCGGGAGGCGGAGGTTGTGGTGAGCCAAGAGCGCACCATTGCACTCCAGCCTGGGGGACAGAGCAAGACTCTGTCTCAAAAAAAAAGAAAAGAAAAGAAAACTGGGATATTTAAAAATATTAATTTACCTAAAATTAACAATAATAATCCTATGACATGTAAATGTAAATAAAATATTTTAATAAAAGTAACTATATTTTCCAAAACAAAATAAATACATCGGCTGGGTACAATGACTCATGCCTGTAATCCCAGCACTTTGGGAGGCCAAGGCAGGTTGATCATCTGAGGTCAGGAGTTCAAGACCAGCTTGAACAATATGGGGAAACCCTGTCTCTACTAAAAATACAAAATTAGCCAGGTGTGGTGGTGCATGCCTGTGATCTCAGCTACTTGGGAGGCTGAGGCAGGAGAATCGCTTGAACCTGGGAAGTGGAGGTTGCAGTGAGCTGAGATTGCATCACTGTACTCCAGCCCGGGCAACAAGAATGAAACTTCATCTCAAAATAAATAAACAAATAAGTAAATATAGTGAGAAGACTGGTATTGTTTCACATTTTTTGAAAGTTTTTAACATCTGTGCTAATAGAAGACAACTAGATTCCCATATTTGCTTCCGGATTAATTTGTTGCAATATATGTTGTTTTGGTAGAAGTAAATGAAAAATCTAGTCTTACACAGAAAAGTAGTTGGAAAAGGAGAAATATAATAGATTTTTCAGTCACCCCACCTCTCCACTGGCAATACACATTTAAAAAGATAAGAATAGGCTGGGCAGGTGGCTCACAACTGTAATCCCAGCACTTTGGGAGGCCAAGGCAGGCAGATCACAAGGTCAGGAATTCGAGACCAGCCTGGCCGACATGGTGAAACCCCATCTCTACTAAAAACACACAAAAAAATTAGCCAGGCATGGTGGCACATGCCTGTAATCCCAGTTACTTGGGAGGCTGAGGCAGGAGAATTGCTTGAACCCAGGAGGCAGAGATCACACCACTGCACTCCAGCCTGGGCAACAGAGCAAGACTCCGTCTCAAAAAAAAAAAAAAGATAAGAATCGTCTGAAGAATGATGGAGAAAGTAAAGAGGACATTTAAGAAAGAGCAAGAGGCCAGGCATGGTGGCTTATGCTTGTAATCTCAGCACTTTGGGAGGTCAAGGTGGGCAGATCACAAGGTCAGGAGTTGGAGACCGACTTGGCCAATCTGGTTAAACCTTGTTTCTTCTAAAAATACAAAAATTAGCCAGGCGTGGTGGCAAGTGCTTGTAGTCCCCAGCTACTCAGGAGGCTGAAGCAGGAGAATCACCTGAACCTGGAAGGTGGAGGTTGCAGTGGGCCGAGATCATGCCACTGACTCCGGCCTGGGCAACAGAGTCAGACTCCATCTCAAAAAAAAAAAAAAAAAAAAAAAGGAGCAAGGGAAGTATAACTGGGAAACCACCAGGACAAAAGTCAATTCATATTTCAATGCTTATTTTGTGGGACTGGCACATATTAAATCACAGTCTTTTAAAACTTCCTTAGCCACTTATTAACTGTTTTAGAAATAAAACATCTGCCATTTGTTACAAAAAGTGCAAATTTTCCAGATTCAGAGAGTAAGTCCTTACAAATCATGCTCCCCAAGCACTTAGTGCATCCATCCTGCCCATCTCTTCCAATGCTACCTCCTTTACTTTACCCACATGTTCATTTGCTTTATCTTGTATTCATTTAATATGCTTGTTTGGTTATCATTCTGTTTGGTTATTTTTCCCTAATTCACAGCAAGTTGCAAGTGACTTAAGTTTCCCAGGAAAATTTATATTTTTATAAAAGGCTACTTTTGGACCCAGAAGAAATTTTAATTATTATTTCCTTTCATACTATGGAGTATTTAGGGGCAAGAGCCTTCCTTGATGAAGGAATAGAAGGGTCACAGTAGGGGAGACAGATAACATGGTATTATGGAAATAACACAGACTTCAGAATTACATAGGCCTGTGTCCAAATACTCAGGAGGCTGAGGCAGAAGAATCGCTTGAATCCAGGAGTTGAAGGCTGCAGTGAGCCAAGATTGCGCCACTGCACTCCAGCCTGAACGAGAGAGAGCAAGACTCTACGTGTCTCAAAAAGAAAGAAAGAAAGAAAGAAAGAAAGAAAGAAAGAAAGAAAGAAAGAAAGAAA